TATGGCCTTCTCACAGATAGCCCTGATGATTTTCACTGGAACTGACCTGGTGTTTGGACTCTCAAAGGCCACGCAGCCTCACCTCACTTTTTATTTTCAGAGGTGGTGTCTTCACACCTGAGGAACCACAGTGCAGTGCATGGGCTCTGCCGTCAACACAACAAAAGTACTGCAATGAATAGGCTGTCATAATACAGAGCACCATTTTTCTCCAAGTAGATAGCAAATATATCTACCCTGAATAGAAACATGGTAATAATAAAAAAATTGAAAATATGAAGCCCTTTGATGAGCAGAGAGATGAGTCATGTTCTAACAAAGGGTTAGCTCAAGTCCTTTTTGTTTGTTTGGAAAATTCATTTTCTTTCAGGTACTCAGGAGAATTTAAAAATTTCTCTACTGCAAAAACACACCTAATTTATTTTGTGACAAACTATGACATTGTTTCTTATTCATCTTTTATAAGTAAAGGAAAACTACTGGGAAATGTTTTCTTTTCAATTTTAAGGAAAATAGTATGCTTTGGGGCGGCTAATGTCTCTGACTTTCATGGGCGCCCTCTGCTGGCTCCTACTGGAGATATTTTTTATTTTATTTTATTAAACTTTTATTGTGGGCTTCAGTATTTTTTTCAATGAATAAGATTTAGAGCACTGGGTAGAAAGAGAACGTCTATGACAAAAGTCTCATAAATCAAACATGATAACACATGCCTACAACTACAATACTTAGTAGTAGGTGCATGAGTTAGGATGGGACACCAAGTGAAACCTTGTCTTAAACAACAACAATGGGGGAGAAGAGGGGCATGGGTCAGTTGGTTGAGCACTTGCCTAGCAGGCAGGAAGCCCCAGCACAGCAGAAACCTGGCAAGGTGGCACACACCTGTAATCCCAGCACTTTTGAGGTGGGTGGGAGGGACCAGACATTCAGGGTGATCTACATAGTGAGTCTGGGACCACATATTTTTTAAAAAATTGTTTTTGTTTTCAAGACAGGGTTTCTTTGTGTAGCCTTTGGCTATCATGGAACTCATTCTGTAGACCAGGCTGGCCTTGAACCCACTGATATCTGCCTGCCTCTGCCTTTGGGATTAAAGGCGTGTGCCACCACTGCCCAGTTTACTTATCAAAACTTTTTTGTTTGTTTGTTTTTTTCAAGACAGGGTTTCTTTGTAGCTTTGGAGCCTGTCTAGGCGCTCGCTCTGTAGAACAGGCTGGACTCAAACTCACAGAGATCCACCTGCCCCTGGCGTGTGCCACTACTGCCCGGCTAAAATTTTTAAGTAATTAATTTTTAAATGGGAGGGGGCAGCAACATGGTCTATTGGGTAAATGCACTTGATGGCAAACTTGTTGAGCTCAGTTCAATAATACCTGGGACCCACATTTTGTTTTGAGACAAGGTGTCATCTCACCATGTAGTCCTGGTTGGTCTGGAACTTGCTGTGTAGAACAGGTTTGGCCTTGAAGTCACAGAGATCCACCTGCCTCTACCTCCTGAGTGTTGGGATTAAAAATGTGTGCCATCATCTACCACCAAATGAAACAGATCCTAGTATCGCCCAAACTGGTTTTGCACTTGCTGTGTGGTCAAGGGTGAGGTCACATCACCTTAACTGCATTTGATACTAACGTGCTACTTCTAGGAGAAATCAGAGACTAATAATAATACAATGCTTACAAGGTGGACTTTCCTTGGGAAGGATTTATTTATGACAAACATTTGTTTTTGAAAGTCTGGTGTGTTAAATTGGGTGTGATGACACACCACTGTAATCCCAGACCTAAGGTGGATGAAGAACTAAGAAATTCAAGGTCATCCTCATCTACATAAGACTGAGGCCATCCTGGACTCATGATACCCTGTTTCAAACAACAAAGTCTGCTTTGCGTTCTGAGCATCGATGGCATAGAAACAACAAGAAAGGTCCCTGCTCACACAGGATCTATACAGGGAAAACAGAAAGTGAGCATGCAAACAAACACAACCTTGGAACAAAAAGGCCCGAGCTGAAGGTCGGGTGAGAGAGAACTTGGTTGCACAGTTTCGCGGAGAAGGGGCTTCTCAGAGGAGGGAAAGCTTCATCCGAAGTGTTCACAGTGAGCCAGCCACTTAAAACACCCAAATCGGCAGCTGATGTCAACAGTCCTTTGACTGTCCAATGAGACAAAATTATGTGTTGAGCGACATGGCTGAATGTGCCACAGATATTTACTAAATATTACATTTTCAATCTTTGCAACTGAGTAACCTGATATTAAAAGCAATAACCTAGATGTAAGGATTCAGGCATTATGCTGGTCTGCCCCCTTTCACCTGGCAGAATGCACTCAGGCAGTACCCTGGTCGTCCCAGGTGCAAAGGACCCCTTTAAAACAAAGACCTCCTCGCACTTTCTACTCTCTCTTTCCTACTCTCTTTCCCTGGGGCAGACTGAACTTTTCCTGTCTCCCTCTTCTCTTCTGTCCTCTCTCTGTCTCTGTGTCTCTTTACCTCTTCTTTCTTTCCTTCCTTCCCCCTTCCCTCCCCTAATAAAACTTCTCATTTAAGCTCTGTCTGCCTGGTGTGTTTGTCACCCTCACCTGCCATGGAATCCGCTGAGGTTCCATGTGTATTACTCATAACGCTAGATGACTAAATAGTGGCTCCATCAGAAAACCTAAGGTACTGCTAAGGGCTGGTGGGAGGGGGGTCATAAAAAGAATGAAAACAGTATTAGGGGCCAGCAAGATGGCTCAATGGGTAAAGGGTGTTTGTCATGGAGCCTGATGACCCAAGTTTGGGGGGCTACATTGTGGACGGAGAGAACTGATTTCCAAAGGTCATCCTCTGATCTTCACACATGTATGTGCCATGGCATGATGGAGACCGGAAACACACAAAATGAATAAAATCTTAAAACATAAAAAAAATTAAAACAATAAATCAGAAGGTTTGGGAGGCAGTTCAGTGGTAGATTCACAAAACATGTACAGGCCCTGGGTCTGAGGGCCAGCAATTGAAAACAAAATAAAAACCTCACTTTTTAAGAAAAGTTTAAAAGATTGTATTTAAAATTTACAAAGGAGGGCTGGAGAGATCGCTCAGTGGTTAAGAACACTGGCTGTTCTTTCAGAGGTCCTGAGTTCAAGTCTCAGAAACCACATGGTGGCTCACAACCATCTATAATGAGATCTGGTGCCCTCTTCTGGTGTGCAGGGATACATGCAGGCAGAACACTATTCATAGTAAGTAAATAAAAAGTCCCAAAGGAAATTGGTTAGAACTATTGGTGGATCTTAATTTATTGGTTGGTTCTTTTTGAGATAGGGTCTAAGGTGCCTCAGGCTGGCCTCAAACTCCCTATGTGTAGTTAAAGATGCTATTGAATTTCGGAGCATACTGCCTGGATCTCCAAGTGCTGAGAATACAGGCAGATTCCACCATACTAGGTTTATGGGTTTATGTGGAGCAGAGCTTTGAGTGCTGTCAGACCAGCACTTACCAGCTCCCTAGCATCCACAGTCCCCCACTGCTGTCTTTCCAACAAAACACACCACACCAGAGGTTTTATAGGAGAGGATAAAATAGCCGTAAGTTAAAGCCCAGTTTGTACACTTGGATGGGCCTTTGTGTGTGTGTCAAGGTCTTCCTGCCTTACTCATGCACAGCAATCGCTGGTACTACAGGTGTGGATTAAGTGGTATGTGACCATTTGATACCAATACAAACAATTTAGTCAGGAAAAAACCTTTCTACATCCCGATACTTGTTGTTGTTTGAGTAAGAATGGCCCCCATAGGCTCTGAGATTTGGTTTCCAGGGAATGGCACTAATTGAAAGGATTAGAAGGATTAGAAGGAAGTGTGTCACTGGGAATGGGCCTTGAAGTTTCCCAAGCCAAACCCAGAGTCTCTCTCTGCCTGTGGATCAAAATATAGCTCTCAGCCACTGCTCCAGTACCTGCCTGCATACAGCATGCTTCCCATCATGACGACGATAATGTACTAAACCTCTGAAACTGTAAGCAAGCACCCAATTAAATACTTTGTCTTATAATAGTTGCCTTGATTATGGTGTCTCCTCACAACAATAGAACAGTGTCTAACACAGAAGTTGGTACCAGAAGTGGGGTATAGTGGGAAATTACCAATACGGAGCCAAGTGGAAATATAAGGGTATTTAATAGGGAAAAGCCTTACTTACAGAGCAACCTAGCCAGCCGGCATGGCAGCGGTCTATACACAAGCCCAAAAGTGAAACCGAAAGAGAGACGCAGTCCCACTCCACCTCACCCTGACCACGTCCTCGCAAGCATGGTCAAGCACACCTGTAGCCAGCCCCTAAGTAGACGTGGCTACAGCTTCCCCTACAGTGGGGTATTGCCGTGATAGCCCTGACCATGCTGTTTGTTCTAGGAATAGGGACTGAAACACTATGGGAACTCTTGAAGTTGGACTGAATGTATTTTCACATTAGGATATAGCTACAAGCCTATGGGGGGAGAGGGGGCAAGGAGTGAAATGTGGTTCTTCCTGGCATGATGATAATGCACCAAGCTCTGAAACTGTAGGCAAACCCCTAGTTAAATACTTTGTCTTATAACAGTTGCCTTGGTCATGGTGTCTCCTCACAGCAATAGAATAGTGACTAAGACAATATTGATATGAACTAAGCTAATATTGAAGTCTGAAATGGGATAACAGAGTTGGCTTGAGAACTTGTTTTCACTGCTGAGACTTCTCTGGCTGAGATGGTTCAAGCCCACACTCATCTTTTCTAATGTTAGCACTTAGGACACACACTATGGCAGGCTTCACTTGGACAAGGGAAAATACAGTGTATCAGACAGGAAATGAGTGTCATCAGGGAGGTCACAGAACTACCTGTCTGACACAAAGACAGTTAGAGTCTATCTAGGGGGAGAAGATTTGGGGGCTGGACCTGGATACAAAGAAAGGGGTCAGTGAATCCAGTTGTAACCAGAAGTGTAGGCAGGGCAAGAGACAGAGGCGTGCTTCCAGATGGACCCGTTTTATTTCCAAACAAGATGCCAAACATAAACTTTCCCAGTGCTATACTGGATTTTCAGTCCATAAATATACTTGTTCCTAAAACTCTTCTTAAAATCTGCCTTCCCCTGGGCAGTGGGAAATCGGCACAAAGTCAAAGGTTAAAATGTCTTGCACAAAATATTCCATTCACCATCATTATGCAAGTCTTCAGAGTCCTCAGAAATGATCGTGAAAACACAAGATGAATCGTACTTCATGACACTTTGCAGCATCTCAACATTTTCCTTCATTTGTTAATGTTCTGATTTCAAAGATCTTAGTATTCTAAAGTGCAACCTTTTCATCAAACAGGAAAAGGAAATCAAGCTATCATATACTGAAAACGTTATGGAGAACAACATACCTGTAAGAATAAAACCCCAAGTATTCTGTCAGATATAGTGGGTAGTCCCTTTGTCCCCTCCATCCCCCCTTCATCCTTGAGAGCTCTTCAGACATCTGTGGACATTCATTGTGTGATTTCTGCAGAATTTGGCTTATATAGTTTGAGAAGAAAATACCATTTTAAGGAACTCTGTAAATACATTAATATTCCTCTTTCTTAGAGGTAAAGTTAAAATATATTTCACACCTTTAAATGGCATAGAAGAAAACAGTAATGAAGCTCCAGGTGTAGCTCAGGGTAAAGCACTTGCCAAGTATGTAAGGCCCTGGGTTCCCTGCCCAGCACCTTGACAAGATGGCTGGCATTCAAATAAGAACTAAAATTTCAGGTTTTAAAAATGCCCTGTGATCTCAGTTGAAGATGGGCATCAATTTATATCCTAAATATGAACAATGGTAACCCTGCGGAGGGAGGCACTGATGCCATGTGGCCAATTTTTAAAAACCTATTTATAAGCAAAATCAGTGTTTAGAGATGACTATGTTGGTGTATTCAGAATTATGACCTACCAAAATTACCATAGAAAAGACTGATGTTAGAAGTGATCTCAAAGATCAAGCAATTCTGCTCTCAAATTTTAGACAAAAGGGAGACCAGTGACAGTGACTTGAGCAAATCAGCAAGGTCATCTATAAAACTATTTTCATATGCACACGGCACACACAAACACACACACTGCTACATTTGTTACATATAAAGATGCCAGTAGCTTTAAAGATAAATGAAAGCAGAGTGAAACTTTACACTTGTTCTCGTTGCTGGAAACAGGAAGCACCCATGCTTCACAGAGTGGAAAGGCTCTGCTCTCCTTTCACGGTGCACTGTGTCATGACTCGGTTGCGTGTCCTCTGGACAGTCCCTAAATGTAGCATGGATCGTGGGCAGAAGTTGGGATGATAGGAAGGAGGGCAGGGTGTTCAACTCAAATCTGGAATCCCTTCCTATGCCCAAGATGCCCACACTGGCAGTGAAGACCATTTATGAAGGTAAGGCTGCGCAGTTGGAACGTCTAGACCTACACGGAGAAACTTGGAGTGGGCAGTGCTGGCGTCTGCCTGTCACACACAGGGATTCCCGTGAGGGCTCTCCTGGTCATCATGGGCAGAGATGAGCATGTGTGTCTTTAAATTATAGGTTGGGTATCTCTCATCTGAAAAGCTGGAGACAAGACTGTTTCAGAGTTTTAACTTTTCTAGACTTTGGGATATTTGCATATATGTAACAAAATATCTTGAGAATGGGACCCAAGTCTAATTAGGATATTCATTTGTGCTTTTTATACACCTTATCTACATAGCCTGAGGGTAACTACACACAACAAGTTTAAAAATTTTATGCACAAAATAAACTTCCATGGTCTGGAACTTTCCACTTGTGCCATCTGGGTTTTGGGATAGTTCCAATTTTGGATTAGGATGGTCAACCAGCATTACCTGGATGTCTGTACTAGGTAAAATGTTTCTAATTACTGTAATTTGCATATGCATATAAATATCAAAGTATGTGATCCTTACTACTATAATTTATCTAGCTACTCACAAATTGCACATGGATATAACTCTATGGTAATTTTCTTTTTAAAATACCCTTTATCTTAAATTTTTTATAATAGATATCTTTCAGAAAAATCCTGTTCAGCTATATATATTAACATTAAATAACTTAAAAAATAAACAATACACTATATGAAAATTCCCTAATTTTCAGCTACAAGTGAAAAAGTTGGGTTTTCAAGAATGGACTAGCCCTTCTTCCACAAATGGACTAGCCCTTCTAAAGGTATTTCTCATAATTCTAAGGTCTTATTAAGCAGGGTTTACTTCCTTACTATAACAAATATATACATACCACTCTTAGTGATTTATGCCAGGAGTGTGCCTAAGTAACAATAGGCTGGTTTTTTTTTTTCTATCTTGACTTATTTCATAATAGATAACTTACTCTACAGTTAAATAAGTTTGTTTCCAAAAGATTTTCTCAGGGAAATATTCAGTTCATGCAGCCTCTTGTTTTCTCAGAATAGGCATAGAAAATAACTTCCCAGTCACCCTTAGTCCCCACTGAATGTACAGCACCCTGCTCATAATTAATACTCTGGGGGAAGAGAAGCTTTTAAAAAGAGGTGTGGCCTGCTAGAAATCCTGTCAAAATTCCCATAGGAAACACAACCATTGTCAGAGGCAGAGGACATGCAGTCCCCAGTGCTGGCCTCAGAGTGTCCCCTGGACCCTGCTCGGTACCCTGTTTCAACCTGAAGAACTGAAGAGAAGCTGCCATTTTTTTTTTTTTTTTTTTTTTTTTTTTTAGTTCCTCAGAAGTTATTATCTCACCCACAGCCAGAAGAAGTTCTTGTGGAAAGAACACAGCAGAGGCAGGACCTAGGGCTATTTCTAGCTCCTCAAATTGTGACCATTCATACCACGTGGGCTATAATAAAGAATAGAGAAAATGGCCCAGATGTTCTTAAACTTGTTGGTGAGTCACTTTTAAAATGTAGATTATTATAAGGTCTGCAGGATACAGATTCCAGTACTCATGAGAAACAAGGAAAAGTGCCAATGATTGAAAAGTGTGGGTCTTTTCAAAGCAAACAGAAGAGGTCAAGAGCTTTGCATGTCTGAGGAGTTTACTCCATCACAGGTTTTGATCCAGCCATTTGATGTAACTATTCCTAGTCCGGATTCCCACAGAGAAGTTGGTCGGCCAGCTTGTGAAAATCATACAACCATGGAAGCCATCCTCAAAGTGGTCCAAGGTCACGTTCACACCTGCACTCTCCAGGCGCTTGGCATACATGATCCCATCATCCCGCAGGACATCATGCTCACAGGTGAGGATGTAGGTTTTCGGAAGGTCCTGCAACACTTCCTCGTCTGCGATGAGCGGGGAAGAAGCTGCATCCAGCAGTTGAGGGATCTCCTGGGTGATCCTGGCATCACCTGTGGTCTGCATGACAGGCTTGTAGTTCTTTTTGATGGATGAGGGCAACAGGGATGTCCAGTTGAGACGGGCCCTGAGGGCTGCGGCCTTCTCCACATCAAGGGAAGTGTGATTGTTCACAATCATGGCCTGTACGAAGTCATAGTTGCCTTTGAAGTAATCCACCCAGTACTTCACCATGACGTGGCGTGGCAGGATTGGAGTGTTCACGTTCTGCTGGTAAGAGGGTGTGTTGAAATCCAAAGCCTGGAGGACTGGGTAGATTAAAGCCTGCAGTTTGAGCTTATTTTTCAGGCTGGCAACGTAAGTAAACTAGAATAGAAGAAACGTATTATGTCATTTGCATGGATCTTTCTTTCTTTCTTTTTTTTTTTCAAAACAGCTCTGGAGACCAGGCTGGCTTCGAACTCACAGAGATTCGCCTGCCTCTGCCTCCCGAGTGCTGGGATTAAAGGCGTGCACCACCAACGCCTGGCTGCATGGATCCTTTTTTAGAAAGCAGTTTACAGAATGTTTTAAATAAATGAGTGGGTGCTTTAAAATGAAATAAAGCATTCCTTTTCACCATGCCCTGCTAAGCTGCTGGGGAATTCCTAAGGAATGTCTGCCGTTTGTGACTCACAGTTTTGAATGAATTTAGTGTTGCGTGACCCCTGAGGTCTCTAAACCCCCAATGACACTCTGCTTGTTTCTATCTATCTTTTAATACTTACACACCTTGCTGCATATTACTTGTGAGTAAATTGTGGGTCTTATTTAATTTTTTAATCCCTATAAAACAACAAATGGCAATGGCTTCTGGAGCAGGGGAAAATAATCACAAATCTTCCTCTTTTAGAGGAGAAGGCTAGAGATTAAATGCAGGGGTGGTGGGACTCCAAGGTTTACAGGTGCTCGGTGACTTTAGTCAAGGTTTACAGATGCTAGGTGACGAGCTGTTAGTCTCTGTTCTGGGACAGTGAGTTCATACAGGCAAGCAATGTCCAGAGAGAGCTTGAAGTAGAAGGGATATGACTTCCTATGCCAGCAACCTCAGCTCATCGGTGCTTCTCCACAGGGTGACTACATTGTCCCATTTTATAATTCCAGCATTTAAAAGCCTGCATGTGGTGCACACCTTTAATCCCAGCATTGGGGAGGCAGAGGCAGTCAGATCTCTGTGAATTCAAGGTCAGTCTGGTCTACAGAGTGAGTGCCAGGACAGGCTCCAAAGCAATACAGAGAAATCCTGTCTCGAAAAACCAAGATATAAATAAATAAACGAATAAATAAAAGTCTGTACGTGGATGCCACATGTCTCAAAAGAAAATGGACGGAATCAGGGTAACTGAGCAGCCCTCACTTTGTTTAGAGCCCTCTCTCCTGGTAAGATGCGTGTGAGCACTGTGTGTATGTGTCTCACAAAGTCCTGCAACACTCCTGCAGTTAGAGGACATTATCTTCTCATAGAACAACAAAGGGACCCAGGCATGGGCTTCTATCTCTCCAAGGTGGAGCTGGAATTTCTGTCTATATTTGAGGCCTATGAGCCAGGCATGATGGTATGCACCCACAACCCCATCACTCCAGATAGCTAAGGCAACAGGAGTACAAGTTCTAGGCTAGCCTGGGCTACATAGCAAGACACTATCTCAAAAACACAAGTAATAGAAATTGGAGTGGTGATACATGCCTGTGATCTCAACATTGGTGGGGGGGGGGGTCGTGGAGGCAAGAGGACATCCTAAATTACATAGAAAATTGGACACTAACCAGGGCTACATAATACCCTATCTCAAAAAACACTAAATAATAATAAATAAAACTTTGGAAAACAGCTTAATATTTTAATTTCTCTTTAAACTCTTAGAAAACAACTATAGGAACAAAAATTTAAGCCAAAATTTCCTGTTTTGCAAGTCAAACAGCACCAGGTAGGTAGGACACTCCTCAGTGCCCACTGCCCCTAGGGCAGTCAGTCACATGAGGGTGCTAGCCACAGGGTGAGCAGCCCAGCAGCACAGGTGAAGGTGAGAGTTGCAAGGCATACCCCCCCCAACCCTGCAATCACAAGCGCCCTGAGGCAGTGCTGTTACCTGTTGTCCAAGGGCAGCTGCCAAATTCCCACCAGCACTGTCTCCAGAAACAGCAACTCTGCCAGGGTCTACCTTGTACTTGTCTAAGACTTCTGGCTGCAAGAAGTATCTTGTGGCACGGATGACATCGTAAATTTGCTCGGGAAAGTGGACCTGTGGAACTAGCCTGTATCTGCCAAGACAAAAGTGGTGTCATTTTAGGATGGCATCACGTTTTAAAGGCCTCTCAACATTTATGAAGAAAAATTGGAATTTTTAAAAACCAGAACCAGATAAGAAATTAAAAGAAATGTAAAATGTAAAAATAAATCATTTATTTTCTTGTAAAATAGGTAGAGTTAGTAACTTGGTACTCACAAAAGTCCTTAAAAAAAAAAAAAATCAAGCTGTACAAGCTGGCCCTCCTGGTTAGGTTCAGCTATTAACATGGCACAGCCCAGAGTTTATCTGAGGGAATCTCAGTTGGGGCACTGCTTCCATCAGATTGGCCTGTGAGCACAAGTGTGGGGCATTTCATGCTAGTTGATGTATGTGAGCGGCCCAGCACATGGTGGGTGCTGCCAACCTGGGCAGTTGTTCTGAAAGCGGGTTGAGTACCATCCAGAGGAAGCAAGACAGCCACAGCATGGGCTGGGATGGTCTGGGACTCCTGTATCATTTCCTCCACCCCGACTCGCCTCAATCGGGACTGGAACCAGGATATGTAAGCCAAATAAGCCCCCTGCCATGTTGCTTTTGGTCATGTTTTATCACAGCAACAGAAAAGCAAACTAGGACACCAACCATGATGGGTGGATACCTATAATCTCAGGGGAGGCTGATGCAGGAGGACTCAGAGTTTGATGGGTGGTGGGGGAAGGGGTCTCTGTGCCCACAAAGGTCAGCAGAGTGTCAAATTGTGTGAGGCAAGAAGGAAGTCTCGTACAACACAACTCAGTAGCTGTTTTTGGCTCAAACACCAAGAGTCTGACACCAGGCTGGTAATTTTAGGCATAGTTAAGTAACACAAATTTGGAAAAAAGTTTCCTGGTGATAATTAACTTGATACCATGAGCACAATAAAGCTTAAGGGATGGCTACATCAAAACTTTTATAACTCCGTAAAGTACATGTGACCTCTTCCATAAAGATGGGTTCTATAGATTGAGTGCTTGTGACAGCCTAAGGGCCTGGGGAAGGATCTGTGGTCTCACTCATACAGACAGAACAAAGGTCACCAGACTATAAACTATATCCATTCTCAGCCTTTTGGGAAGAAACCAGGTTATATATCTCTCTGAAGCCGCAACCCAGTGTGTTTAACATTTCTGGTTCCTCTATTGCTTCTCTGTGAGCACAGAACCTGTGGCCCATACAGGCTGAGGTCAGCTTGGGTCACATAGCAAAAGCCTATTTCAAAAACAAGCAAAACAAAACAAAAATAGCCTTCAGACATCAAACTTGCCACCTGATGTAATGTGTAGGTTCTCCTTAAGACACAATGGCTCCATAAGGAATTTGGGGGGTTTATTTCGGAAAAGTCTACGTACCACTCATGGCAGCTCTGGTTAAAAGCTAACTAAACAGCATTAACCAATTCACTAGGCTCATGTTTACCACAATTCTTTAAATACAGCTGTCTCTGCTGAAGAGGTCTGTGCCAGCCCACCATTAAACCCAAGGGATGCATGTACTTGCTGAAGCACTGGTAAAATGTCATTTTTTAACCGGAGAAGGGAAGCTAGGTTAGCACAGAGCCTTGTCCAGACACTATGGGACATTTCTGAGACTCCTCCCTGGGCACACTTTGCAATGGCAGAATTCTTCATCTTAATTCTGTAAAAACGTTCTAGAACTCTCATGACGGAGCCACGCTCAACACCACTATGGTGTGTACCTGCAGTTCAGTCTTCACACCTTCTCAGTCTCCGCCCCCTCCTGTGCTTGATTTTACTGAGCATTTGAGCCTTAACTGGGAAGTCTGACTGTTCACTTGCTTTAGGGCCTGAGTGGGCCATTCAAGCAGTGCTTTGGCAGGCACATTGTAATCTCAATCACTTAGGAGGTTGAGGCAGAATCCCAAATTCAAAAATCCTGCTGAGTTACAGCTTGGGAAATTCAGTGAGACCTTGTCATAAAACAAAAAATAGAAAAAAGGCCTGGGGAATACAGCTCAGTATAGCATGTGCTTCTCCTCCATTGACATCAGTGTGGTTACACCACTCTTTCCACTAGGTGGCGACATCTATCAAGATTGTATCTATTCCTGCTCTTCATGTAATTTCTGGTCTGAAAAAAAAACAAAAACAAAACACCCAAAACCAAACCAAAACAAAACAAAAAAAACAACAGATGCATCTCAGGAGACAAGACACAGAAATAATGTGTTGCTTTGTTTTTCGTTCTATCACTACCTTAGTTATAGTTTCTATCTATTGCTGTGACGAACACCATGATCAAAAAGCAAGTTGGGGAGGAAAGGGTTACTCAGGCAGAGCTGGAACCTGGAGGCAGGAGCTGAAGCAGAGACTGTGGAAGAGTGCTGCTTACTGGCTTGCTCAGCCTGCTTTCTTTCTTATCAAACCCAGGACCTGGTACCAGCCCAGGGATGGCACCACTCACAAAGGGCTGGGCCCTCCACCATGATCACTAATTAAGAAAATGACTCATAGCGGATCTTATGGGGACATTTTCTCAATGAAGGTCCCTCCATTCAGTGGACTCTAGTTTGTGTGTCAGGTTGACATCAGAGCAGCCAGCCAGGCCACTATATCACGGTAAACAGCATTCCTAGTTGCACAGGTGGTCAGCGCACGTTTGCACACAAGCAGCCAGTACACGTTTGCACACAGGCGGTCAGCACACACATTTGCAATAGGATATGCACATGCATAGTGTTGAATTTTCAACACTCTTGTATCAAGGCCTTGGAATCTTTGGGTGGCGGGAAATAAAATCTGGGAACCTGGTACCTAGTGATCAATCCTGTCAGAGAGTAACTTGATGAACTAGCATGGCAAACAATCCTGCACACAAACGCATCATCACGCTAACATCTATGGTACCACTAAACATCCACAGCCTAGTACAGCCTGGTGGGAACAGCCTGTGATCCAACTCCCAGAGCCTGGGGGAGGAAGACTGACAGTTCTAGACAGGGCTATCAAGTGAGTTCAAGGCCAGATTGGGCAATTTACTAAGACTCCCTTCCAGTGGAAGAGTCACCTAGCATGTGAGAGACTCTAAATCACCACTTGTCCCCCACACAACCCATACTCTAGGCTCTCAATTGATCTCTGTGTAATCTTTGTTAAAGACAAGGGCTAACTGTGTAGCCTGGCTGGCTTGGAACTCAGAGATCCCTGCTTCTCTCTGCTCCCAAGTGCTGGGATCAAGTGTGGACCACCGTGCCCAGCATCTTTGCTGAAGCTGAAAGCATCCATTGGTTTTATATGGTAAGACAAGATACTACTTTTGGGGCTGGAGAGATGGCTCAGCGGTTAAGAGCACTGACTGTTCTTCCAGAGGTCCTGAGTTCAATTCCCGGCAACCACATGGTGGCTCACAACCACCTTGAATGAGATCTGGTACCCTTTGCTGGCATGCGGGCAGAAGACTGTATACATAATAAATAAATAAATAACTTTAAAAAAAAGTCATTAAAAAAAAAGATACTACTTTTGTAGACCAGAGGATGAATGTACTACTGGTAGCAGTGTTCTCGGGTCACCTTCAAGTACCGAAAATGTACCTGAGAAATCCAACAAAGATGGGAATGTATTTATAGACATAGAAACTTACAGAAATGGGAGTAAATTCATGGGTGGTTTATCTAAAGAAAGTAGACAGCCTGGCGTAGTGGAACAGGCCACTAATCCCACCTACTTGGGACTGGAGTGAGTCCCAAGTGTGAGTTCAAAGCCATCTTGGGTGATTGCAGAAGATCCTATCTCAAAATAGGATCCTAGTCTATCCTTTCCACATATTCCACTCTACCCACATTATGCATTTGCTTACAGATTTACACATGTTATTGGCTAGGTTCTCTCCTCCCTCTCTCTGCCCCTCCCACTTTGGAGACAAAGTTTCAGGCAGACTGGTATCAAATTTATTAAGAAAGACTGGGAACTCCTAGTTCTACTGAGATTACGGTCATACACACACTCGTGCATGTGTACATGTGTGCGTGCGTGCGTGCGTGCGTGCGTGCGTGCGTGTGTGTGTGTGTGTGTGTGTGTGTGTGTGTGTGTGTGTGTGTACATAAAGAAGATGTGGGGTACACTGCAGAGGTAGAATTTAAAGATGGCTTTAAAACCCATGCTCACCCCATTCTAAAATACGTCTGTTGTCTTCCAATGCCACTACACTGAGGCTTCACCTTACCTCATTTGAGCAGGAAACGCTCAAGCGAGGCTTTTGGTATCTCAGAATATTTGTCATGGTTTTGGTGGGTTAGCGATTATTTCCAATACAAAACTACTACACATTAACAATATGCTTTGCCTTGTCAGAAGTGGTGGCACACACCTGTAATCTTAGCAGTCAGGCTATGGAGGCAGCAAGACCAGATATTCAAGGTCAATAGCTACTAACATGAGCTGCATGTCATGAACCAACACAAAACCTTAGCCAAAATAAAACATATGATCTTCCGCACCAGAGGTGGTAACCTGCATTACATGTAACTCCAGTACTGTGGTTATCTGCACATATATGTAACTCCAGCACCATGGTAATCTACACACATGTAGCTCCAGCACTCTGGTTATCTGCACACATATAACTCTAGCACTGTGGTTATCTACATGTGTGTAACTCCAGCACTGTGATACTCTGCACACGTATGTAACTCCAACACTGAGGAGGCTGTGGAGGAGGAATGCCAAAAGTTCAAGGCTAGCTGAGCTCCACAGCAAGTACAGGCCAGCCAGAGCTATATATGCAGGACTGTGCCTCAAAACATAAAAACAAACACAAACCAAAACATGATAAACACATGATACACACACACTTTCCTTGTAAATTCTGCCTGCACTTCACCCAATGCTGTTTTTCAGAAACACTGAGCTGTGAGCCCTGCCCCAAATATTCCAATGCCACCACTGTGGGCGGAGACCCTGCATCTATCTTAGAAGAAAAATTTCCAAGAAATCCCAGTGCTGCACGAGGTCCCCATCAGGACCCCAGCACATG